AAAAAATGGAAACTTTGCAGCGCGACGACATGGCGTATGCGAAACACTTGTCAACCGGCAGCCAGGCACTGCGAGCACTCATACGCCCTGCAGGCACAGACGATGTGTGGAGCGTCACACYTGCGACCGTATGCGAGTGTGTGTGCGAGGAGAGCACAGCACACAGTAAGTATTCCGCTTTTTGTGTGTGCACTAGCTGAAAGTTTGTATAAACACTTACAAAGCGGTGGGGGCGGCGTTGGTGGCATTGGTGGCAACGATGGCAGCATCTGCAACACGGTTACCTTAAATGCCATCATTGGCAGCGTGGTGTGCCGGAACGAAGGCGCTGCCGAAAATACGCTTAAGTAGCGCAATTGTGCGCATGAATTGACAAAATAAAGCAACAACAAGCTGCATGCAACACAACAACACAGCGGCAGCTAGCGCAGAGCGCCGACAGCTTTTAATAATAAGCACTACAAGCTTAGGCGCGTGAGTGGTATAGGCTGCAGATAGGAAGTAGTATAGTGCCAGGCGAGTGATAACAATACAACAATTGCAAAAACAACTAAGCGCGCTTAAAAATTTCAGCGAAATTACAGCGCTGAGGTGCCGCAGTTCGTGCCTTTGAGTCAAGCCTGCAAGTGGTGTGGACTGTGGATGCTGCTGCATGTGTGGGGTGTGACTGTGACAACAAAAAATACAACAACCACAAGTTCTGCAAGTCAAACTTTGTTTCGAGTTTGTTGCCGTGCAGAGAAAGAGTCTAATTTATGCAGCAGGTTCAGGCATATTTTCGGTTGGCATGCACGACTCAACAAGCATAACAACAATATGCGGGGCCCCAACGGAACGCAGCGTGTTTTCTTTTATTTCCTGTTTTTTGGTTTGTATTTTGTTTTTGTTTTCGTGCAGCAAGTTATGGCAGTGTCTGAGGAGAATATGCATAATAAATGCAATGACAGGAACAACAAGAAACACTAGAAAAACGGTAACAACATGTAACAACAACACACGCTACACCGTTGCTGGCGCACCTGCCCAGCAGCGCCGTTATGCCACCGCACTTTCTTATGCTCACATCTTCATTGCACGGCAGCTGTCTAGCTGGTGGCGCAACGCGTTTGTTGGGATGTGTGCGCTGTGCTGGCCTCCTTCTCCCTCGCCGCCTGTGAGTTGTTACTTTTATTTCTCGCTTGTTGTCGTTGTTGCAATTTTATGCGCACGGCGCACGGGAGCTGTGTTCTCGGTCGTGTTATACACAACGGCTGTGACGGTTTTGTAGTTGTTGTTGCTGTTGTCATGAATAATGAATGTCGACGGCAATGAACTTTTAAATATTGCATACAATTCGCTGTTGCCGGCTACACCCTCAGCGCTGTGCGACAATGTCATTACGCCACTGACACTCAGGCGAGTTGTTGTTGTTTTGGGGTTATTAGTTGCTTTTATTTTTATTAGATTGCCGCTTGGTTGGTGTGGTGGATGCTGGAACTGCTTCAAGATACACACTTCCATCCCACAAGCTACAAAAATGTTGAGGTTAGGGGAATGAAGTAAATTTTTAAACACGATTTGTATTTGCTGATCCGTTTTTCAACAAATTAAATACCAAACAGACTTAAAAAAATATTTTTAGTGTTTTTACTTTAAAAAAAAAAAAAAAAAAAAAAATGGAAATCGTAAATTTTTTTTAGGAGGCAGTGTTCTTGCTTATGAGGGCTACTATGTTTGAACGCAGCTCTTATCGGGTTAATGCCGATTTCCCTCTAATGTCTCATTGAAAGAATGAATTGAATGCCCAACGGATTTGAACTTTAGTTGCCAGCTGGTGGGTTTTTGAATAGTGAACGGTCGGCCACTCTTGCTGTGTGGCAAAATGTAAAATCTCGGAAGTTACTCATACGCCTTGTTGAACGAAATCTGTTTATTTTCTAAAACCAAAGCAAATGTATTTTATTTTCAGAGTAGTGAACCCTTGCACAAATGTAAGCGATAAAAGGGTGCATATCTAATTCAGTTCAATAATATCGAATTTCTGACTTTCCTCGCAAATTTGTTGTATTGAAGGCTTTGAATGCTAATGTGTTGCCAGAGAAATGTTTGCAATCGCTTTAAAAGGATTTCAGTTGAATTAATACCACTAAATTAAGGGGTGTTAAAACTGGAAAGGCTGCAAAAAATATTGCGTTCCCTTGGAAGGACTAGGGGGAGAAGGACCTGGCTACGCTTGGAATATCCAATTGGCGCCACGTAGCGAAAGGAAAAAACGACGGGCGCGCTGTTGTTAACTCGGCTATAATCGCGTAAGCGATGTCTACGGCAGTTAAGAAGAATAAGAAGGTATGAAAATAGAAATAAACTAAGTGTCTTCAGGAGACATCCATTCTTGATGGGTTTTTCTTAAACAAATCGACAAGAAAATAATTTTGGAGATTTGAACGCATGTTCTCCTAAACGCAAATTAAATGTTTATAATCAGATTATATTGTATACCAGATAAAGATCTAGGAAATAATATTTATGATAATATTTCCGATATCTTGAGGAACTCTGAAGTGTACATTTCTTTACAAAAAAAAAAAAAAAAAAAAAATTAAAAAACGTTGCCAGGTAGTCTTTCGGAGACCTGAGTAGTTTCTACAGACCCCAGTGCTAAAACTCTAAGGAATAAACTCATAGAAAGGTGTGAATATTGAAATTTTAGAGCAAGATGCTGATTGTGATCACCATTTCATAGAAAAATTCTTATTTCAGAAAAAAAGAAAGGAATCTCAAGAAATAAATAATTGCAAACAAATCTATGTGATTGGATCACGGTAAAGCAACATACTCGTATATACGAAATTGTTTCATAAATTGAATTGTATGCTTTCGATTCGTTTCCATTCTGAGTTTATAAAAATTAATGATTTTCTTACTTATAAACAATGTTATATTTTTGTAATCCATTAATGTATAAAATTTGGTTAACTTACCCTGTGTATTGTCTCTTCAAAGCTTTGGTGTTGACCTCCATTCATTGTTTGAAAATGTCTCAGTCGTTCATTCGCCGCCTAAAAATTAGCAAATTAAATATTTATTAATTATTTCTAATATTTTTGTGAACGAAACATAAAGGTAATATCGATAGACTAAAGCATAATATAGATATATGATTGGGTGATATTACATAAAGGTTTTTGAACTCAATACTGTATTGGAAACAAAAGTTAAATCAGATGCTGCGTGTAGTCTATTAACCAGTTAAAGAAATCATAGGAGAGCATTTTAACGTTCCTCCTTATTTAGGCTCGGAAGAGCACTCTAGTGAACGCAGATGCAATTTCATGTGTTATGCTTTAGAAGGCTCGTCTTTGAACATTTTCCACATGAAAACAACAGTTTGAAGAAGTTTTATTGTACTATGCGACAAAGATCTTAGCTGATCATGCCTTAATAACCAAAATCAGATGTTGTTGTTGTTGTAGCGGCAGAGTTCCGCCGAATTGACAGTCCTTGACCGAATAAATATTCGGGTCCGTTCCGGTTACGTAGACCCGACTGTCGTGGGAATGGACAGTACTGAAAGTACCAAAATCAGATCTTTGACTTTGCTTAAAAGACGAAGCCCATTTACTTGGTTATCCTAAGGAAGATAGTTTTTGGAACATAAAATACCCTAACGATACAAAAGGGACTATTAAAAACCTGCAGAGTATATTAATACGAGTTGTAAATTTGGGATGAGGTAGCCTGACTATTATGGAAAAGCTGGGAACATAGGTGGCAAGCTTGGCAGAGTGAGGAAGCACTTGACATCTAAAAGTGAGAGCAAAGCTATTGTTCCTCATTTTGTGTAGAAACCAGCTCAGCCTTACAGAAGTTAAAAGAAATGTGTAGAAAGCGATTGGATATATCTACAAATGCAATGCGGGAAATACTCCAGAAATCGGATATCAAACTAAAATGAAGAGTTAAGCAGCCTCAAAAGGTGCATCTTCGTTGATGGCAATGTTCTCATGGATTTGAGGTGCATTAAAGAAGATGATGATGATTTTAAGAATAGGCAAGAAGAGCTTACTGAAGTCAGCTGAAATGCTTAACGGCAGAAATAACTATGATTGGTTACTGCAAGAAGGCAATAACTCGTAGCAAAGCAACAAACTCTGCACTGAATGGAAACAAGAATTAACGCATTGCTACTTTAGATTGGCCATCACAGTTACTAGACGTCAATTAAGTGGCAAATGTTTGCACTTTAAGCTAAGACAAAACTCAAAAAAACAGTTAACGTCAACAAAGGATTTTATACGGCTTTTGAAATATACTTGCAGATCGCTTGCTTTGGAATATGCGGAAAATTTGGTTTGCAAATTGCCATCAAAGATATCATGATATAAAAGACAATGCAGGAGATGGAGGACAGTACTGAAAAAATCAGCTATAACAAAACTATTTCCTATAATTACATAATTTTTCAAAACAAACGCTACCTACACTTTGGAAAACATGACTTTTTGACCGCACTGTAAATCTGTTAGGTATTGCCTGCGAATAATAAAAAATATAGCAATTTAATAAAATCGTAGAATTTTGAAAGAAAAAAGTGTCGGATTCTGCGCGCCAAATTAAACTTTTCATAAACCAAAAATTTGTTGGTCATTGTACAAAGAAACATATCAAAATAAGCACAAAAAATCAAAGCGATAGAGGGATTTGCTTTGAAGATATAACTGCATGCCGAATTGTGTAAATATTCACTTAAAATTTTTGTTTGTTATATTTAAAACTATAGACTATCAAAATAAGCAAAGCACAAAAAAATATTTTTTTGGAAGTTTCTAGTTTTGTCTACCTTTCCTGGAGCTTAGAGCGTATTCAAAGCACCAACAAACAACTTTGCAACGTTTGAGGAAAGTTGTGAACACGAAATTTCTCTCAAAAGACTTGTACTGCTATTATCTCATACCGCCATCTCGTTTATTTTGGTTAATTGTTAATTTGGCTTTGTCTAAAAGCAAAAATTTTTTCAACTTGCAAATAATTTACTGGCAATGTGTCCGCTGTGGCCAATTCAAAGCAAACAGATTTTAATAAATCCGCGAGACATACGCTGCGACTTGATAACAGCGCGGCGACTGAACCTTAAGGGCGCTCAAATATATCATATAGTTAAGCTGAGACAAGGGTCTGCACACAAAAGAAGTGTTTATCGTAAAAATTTAGATCGCTGTAATTTTTCCTCATAATCTCGCGCGCTTCATTCAATGCCTGCTCAAAGCGCCGCTCTTCATTTTTTAATTAGACATTTGTAAAGTGAAACCGAATTGCAGGAACCCTCAGCGGCTGGTGTTGGCAGCCTAATCGCATTTTGTTGCTGCAGAATTTACGGCTTCCGCGTTTTGCGGCGACCAACCACCTGAGCTGAGCGCTATCCCCTTTTGGTGTTGGCAGCTTTTCAATAGCGTTTTTGCGGACGCAGGTGTCATAGCTTACACACACCCACACATACATATATAGATACAAGCAAACAATATTTATCTTCAGTTGCGTGTCTTCTATCCTTTCACTTTATTTATGACTTCGTTTGGTGATAGCGTATGTGTGCAGCGTGAGAGGAAGGGGTGTTGCGCGCTTGTTTGCTCGCTGTGCGCTATCTCGGCGGCCAATGCCATCGCCAAGTCAGCGCCACTGCAACCGTTTCATTGCCAAGAAACTTCGCAGTTCTTTCTTTTGCGTGAATGCCGGAATATTTACGTCGCCTTCTTGCGCCTTTTATGCTTCCCCTGGCAAATGTTGGTTTAATCAAAGAAAGAAAACGTCTTCAATGAATCCTTTTGGAATAGCAGATAAACGTGGGCGGCGAGGGTGGCGACGGCGGCGCGTTTAACCTTTACATTGTAAACACTTGCGGCAGCGCGGAAGACGGTCGGACATTGGCGCGGTGTGGCAGGCGGCAAACGCTCCCATGTTGCGGCATACATAACAAGCGCGTACCAACACCTGAACATGTACATATATGTGCGTGTGTGTGTGTATGTATGTTGAGCAAAAATTTGCATGTCCCTAGGGTGTAGATTAAACATGACAACAAAAGAATAAGCGCGCAGCACAGCGAAATAGCGGCATGTGGCGCGCTCGGTTTCAGTGGCAATATAAACACGGCAATAACAGCAAAAACAAAGTGCAGCGATGAACCCCTAAAAGCTAAGCGAATGTAAACAGAAATTTGCAAACAAGCATTTAAAGAGCAAACTCCAGCGAATTTGATTGGAGGTGGTCGTGGCGCATTTGTCTCCTTCAGATGGCGCAAGCGGAAAAAAGGCAGCTCATGAAAAATTTAGCGCAGCATTTTGTAGCGGAAATAAGCGCGCACTTGCGCAACTCACATGCGTATAAAAAACGCTTGCCTTTTATAGCTAAATATTCGTGTTTATGCCGTGGTATGTGCATTATTGATGTGTCACACTATGTCTTCGGTGGCATAAAACACTTTCAACGTGACACAGCAAGGAGAGAACAGGACATTTGATGGAAAAGTATATGAACGCCATTTAAAGACGACTCAAACGCTTGTCTTAGTGCCGCGAAGCAATTTGCAAATATCATGCAATACTAAAGTTTGGCTTTGCCAGTTCTACTGCGCCTCTAAAAATTTTACGAATGCTTCGAAATTCTTAAAGCGATAAAGCAGCACTATTGGCAACACAAGTTGGTACATGAGTGCATAATAAACGCGCAGAGACTTTAAAGCTTTAGAAAAAAGTGGTGTGTGTTAGCGGTTGCCTAACGAAGACTTCTGAGCTAGAGAGAGCCATAGATAAATTCGCTCTTTTATAGGTTTGCAGAACAGAAACGAAAATATTGGCTAAATATCTAGTAGGGGTTGGTTTTGACAGCACTTTATTATTGCTATTAGACCCAGCTGTAGTAGTAAATATTAATTTATACTATAAGACTTGTTTATACTTACCCTCACTTGCGCGGCGGTTTGTTGATTACTTCGGTCACGGCGATTCACAGTTTTCAGACCTTTTAAAAGTCTCGCTAAGGTGGTACGTTTCTTGGTCTCACGACCTTCTGAAAAAGAGTAAATAAAAATACACCGAAAACTTATCTGAGAGCACTTAGTATGATAATGGATTTGCAATTTTAATTTTTTTTATTATTTTTATATTTAGGTTAGGTAAAGATGTCGTTCCTGTGGTGTTAGCTAAAGAGAAACTCCTATATAATCGGTCCTAAAGCCCTTACGAGCAGACACAGCGCTTGAGCCTATCATAAATTTGTTGAGGCGGCCAATGTCAGTTTCTGTTACGTCAATTGGTTCGTCAAAGATAAGGCTGGCGTTATATTCCATGCTCAAGCTTGCAAATGCTGGGCAACAGATGAGAAAGCATCTGGAAGTTTATAACTTTGACAACTTGCGTCCAGCAAGATTTTTAACCTTTAGCCTATTGGACAATATCCAGAAAGAACTACTATTATTGGAGAAGGATGAATTTTGCTAAGGGTAAGCCATTCGGAAGATCTCCTACGTTCTATTCAAGATCAAAAGGATCCTGCAGGCGCAAAGGAGCGGTTCGTCAACCGGCTCATGTTGAGCGCACGAGGTCCATTGGTCCCGTATTAAAACACGAGATGCCAATGGAGTTCCAACTCGATCCCATTCAGATGTAAGCGAGGCAAGAGTGCTCATTATCCTTGAAACAGCTCACTGCGCCTTTTCTCCAGCGACTTCTCCCAATCCATACAGCTGCTCAATATATTTTAAGGCAGAGTATTGGGAGCCCTGGGCTATACGTAACTTCTCAGCCGGCTGAAGTGTTCCTTTAATTTTCACTGCAATAAACAACCCTTGAAGGAGCTGAATGGCTTGGGATGGTTGGTATGTGAACGCTCAACAGCCGCCATCTATGGGGTTGCGGTCTCAGGTACTAGATATGCAGTGTTGGAACTCTAAAGTCTTATAACTTGCTCCCCAGTGTTCGAAGATTATGAAAGGCACTTTCTTTCGGCTGGTAAAATTTTCATATGAACTGATCAATATGTAAAACTAAAAAAACCTATTTTCTTCTTGGAACAAAACCGTAGCTACAAATGGCCTCGAAAGCACAGTGATTCTGCGTGTTCTGAGGTACCATGAATAGCCAGTGTTGGCACTAAAATTATAATATAAAACTTTGAACAACCGCAGTACCTTAGTAGGTGAATAGGTTCCTCGAGGAATCGATCTAAAAATTGGCAGTCGAGCATTTGGCTTGAGGTCACGAAGTTAACAGAACAAGATAGCCTACATATTGAGGCTAATCTATTCCTTAGTATTGGATATCAGTTTGGTGATTTGTTTTCATTTAACCAATGTAAATTATAGAAGGTTGACCAAGGAATGGTTGGAGTGGAATGAAAAAGAGTTAGAAGCTAAAAAGTTGCCTTTGGATTGCAGTTGGTTAACTTTTCAACTGTTCAGCAACTCAAAACTTCTTTGTTCAAGTAACCAAATAAAACAAAAACACATTACAAGTAACTCCTAATTCGAACTTGCTAACAAACTCTTTGACCCACCCACGTATTTTCTGCCATTTTTACTTGGTAATAAATCGGAAACTTACCTGCATTCGGTGGAAATTCGTAGAAATACGCTGATCTTGGACTTAAGCAACTGTAATTAGAAGAAGACGAAGTAGGATTAGAAATTCAGTGTTCTTTGTGTGTGTGTGTGTGTGGGTGTGTTTGCACTTAAATGTGGTTGGCAACACCTTCAACTTACTTTTGCTGCAGGAAATTCAAGTGTGCTACATTCGGCGGGAGTGTTTGATGGGCTTGTAGGGCTTGATGCTGGTGTTGTTGTTGCTGCTGTTGCAAATGCTGTTGGCTACCTGGCACTAATGGCAATTGCTGCTGTTGTTGTGCTGCTTGCGCCTGTTGTTGCTGCTGCAAGGTGTGCTGTTGCAGTAGCTGCTGCTGCTGTGTGAGGCCGCCACGTGCAACACGCGGTGCAAAAACACCATAACCAAAACCGTAAATTTCGTCCTCTTCCTTGTCGGACAGACAACTCGAGGGCTGCAAAGAAGAAGCAAGAAAACAAAAGTGAGATTTGTTGGCCTATAAAGCAAGCGGGTTTTGCTGACATGTATGTGTGTGTGAGTGTACTATTTATATGTGTGTGTGGTAAATTAAGTTGAGTGGGCTGTTAACTACTTTGCTGTTGGTGCAACATTTCACGCTGCTAAAATGGCGAAGACGACGATGAAGAAAAAAGTGCCCACCAAAGTTGGTTGGCAGCAAAGCAGCAAGTTGCAACAACCGCTTAGAAGTGGCAATAAAGTAAGCATGAAAAATAAATACGGCCAAAAACGGTAATGCCAAACCGAAGGATAAATATTTTCGTACTTGTGTGTTGCACGAACTGCTGTTTGTTGTGTTATTGTTATTGCTGGGCCGTAAACATGGCGGAAAAGTAATTTGAGCAGCTTTCATGCAGCTGCCAAGTGTTTGTGCAACTTGAACGCTAAAACGGATTAACACCTTCGAGACTTGTTATTGCCGAAGGAAAATGCGAACGAACGAGTTGTGTCAGAAGAAAGCAGCGGTAGAAAGCAACTAAATAACCAAGAACAATCAAGCGGCAGAAATAGCAAAACAAGGAGCATTACAGCTGGATTACATTTTTCGTCACCGAAAGAAATAACGGTACTGAACGAACGCAGTAGCTTTGAGGTGGGTATGCTCGTAGTGTTGCCCGGTAGCCAGTGCTGCTTGCGAAGGAAAGAAGAAGCAAGCAATTTTAGATGAAGAAAGTGCTCAAGAACATAAGAACATGTCATAACGGTTCCATGAGCAATTCAAATTTGTTGTGTTTGTGCAAACGAAATGAATCAAATGATGATTGGTAATGCTCTATTGCCTGCTGCCTGCATATTTATTACCACCACACATATACTATATATATTACGGTGAGACAAAAAAAACCAAAAAAAAAAAAAAATAAAAAAATAAATAAATAAAAAATATTAGATATTAGATATTACATTATTTCTATTTATTGTCATACGAAATTTCTTGAAGATATATCGTCAAATGAGGAAGCTTCCCATGCAAGCATTTCATTACGATCATTCAGTTTGCATGACAGCTATATGCTATAGTGAGCCGATCTGAACAATTTCTTCTGATATTACATTGTTGCCTTAGAAAATAATCTATACCAAATTTCGTGAATATACCTTGTCAAATGTGAAATTTTTCCATACAAGAACTTGATTGATCGTTCAGTTTGTATGGCAGCTATATGTTATAGTGGTCCGATATCGGCAGTTCCGACAAATGAGCAGCTTCTTGAAGAGAAAATGACGTTTGCAAAATTTCAAAACGATATCTTTCTATTAGGTATATGGTAAATGCTCGCGGAAGTGTTCATCTGATTCAAGCCATTTTCGCTACACAGAATTACCAATATCAGGAAAGGATTCTCTCTGAATGCCAATTGTATATCTCACAGAATAATCGATATTTCAGGTCAAAAGTTAGCTAGAGATACTGCGGTCTTATTAATTGATTAGAGCCTTGAACAGTTTTGGTTGGATTTGGGCAAGTTTTGGTCATAAAGAGGCGCACTTTAAGGAAACTATTTCTGCGAGATTTTACACTGTTAAATTTATTTGTTTCCTGATTTGTGTAGGTTTACATTTTTAAACGGCTTTTGGATTGAAAAAAAAATCCTCCTGAGGCAGACTTTGTAGGAACATTTTTCTATGAACGAATATGTAGTTAAATTTTTAGCTTATAATTTTGTGATATGCTTTTTTGTCACACCCTAATATCAATACATATATAATATTTATATGTATGTACCCAAATCATTTGGCTGTATATCTTTGTAACGGTATATGTGCAAGTGGCATACTCCTGCTCCTGTTGCAATGAATTTGCAGCGATCTTTCGAAATTCGGTTTGAGCTTTGGATTGCTTGGGGACCACAAATACACAGCTGCGGTTTTCACTAGATTTCAAGATAAACAGGCAAGTGAGATGGCAGCTCATCTTGCCTTTTGGTGCGGTGTAACGAAGAAGTTAAATAAAGGAATTAGAGAAGTAAAGGCGAAAAGTGAAATGCCGACAGCCAAAAATTATTTGTACACTATTTACCGCCATACATATGTATGTATATATATTATTTATATAATATAAATATTAAGTTTGCGTGTTTATTTGACTTGGCGAGCGAGTCACTAACGCTCTGCTTCTTGCTTTTGCTCAAGCGTCGGCCGCTTGACTTTCGTTTAATCCCCATGGATGCGTCAACACAAAGCAATTGCAAATGTTCGTACATTGTTTTTAATTCATGAAAACTTTCATCTTTGATTAAATGAAAGAAAGTAAATTTGTTTTGCGTCGGCCTTGCAGCGACTAACGGTTTGTATGCTCACTCAAAATTCCATAAGAAATTCGTTTGCATTAAAGTTGAATGCGAAATGTAAGCGATAATTTGTGAATGTAATGAAAATTAATTATTCAAAATATTTGTATGAGCTGGTCGCTCGGCGTAAAGCCCGTGCTTGTCTTACGATTTGCAACAATATTACGTTACCTTGGGAAGTTTGAGACAGTCTTTGTGTTCACACTCATCCATTTTATGCTGCTTTTGGTGTTTCTTGTATTTTTTGAATTAAAGTTTGAGTTTTAGTATTTATAATTTCTAAAGTAGCCGCTGGGAAATCGTGGACTACTGGCTTCTTATTATAGGCAGCAACCATTTTTTGCGACAAAACACAAACGCATGCCAATGGTCTACACTATTTGGAGTTTGGAGTATGAACAACTTGAATTTCTTCATATTTATTTATCTTTAAGCGTCACTGTTGTTTTGGCATAAAATTTACCAATTTCTATAACAAGAAATGTATATTATCGATCATCATTGCGGAAAATCGCACACACTTTTCAAGGGGACCAAATCGAAATTCATGTTGGCTTTCGTAAATAAAAGATTGAAAAAGTTAAAAAAATAATTGGTCAACAAATTGCAGCTTCGAGAGGTAGTTGACGCATTCAACATCATATTTTGGAGTTGTCTCGACCGTATTGATCAAAATACTTTGAAAATTGATTTAAACGAAATAAGTGTTTTTATAACGTGAAAAAATAGTAAAATTCTTTTAAAAACATTTTTAGAACACCTTTTGAAAAAAGTTGTGAAAAATTGTTGACAAACGAAATATTAAAAAAATTTTCCAAAAATAAAAAGAAAATTAAAAACATTTTGAAGAAACAAATGTACGAAAAAATTAAAAAACAACCTTATGGAACATTTAAACAAACTTTATATATGAAATATTTTGCAAATAAAAGGCAATTTTTGTTTTGAAAAACTTTTTGGAAAAAAAGTGTGGAAATATTTTTCGGAAAAAAAGTTTAGAAAATTTTTTGGAAAAAAAGTTGAAAAAGATAAAAATATGAAAAATTATAAAATTATAAATTATAAAACTTTTTGGAATAAAATTATGAAAAACACTTTGGAAAAAAATAATAATTGATCAAAATACCTTGACAATTTATTTAAACGAAATAAGTGTTTTTATTACTTGAAGAATATATTAAACATTTTGAGAAAACAGTTTTGGAATATATTTTGAAAAAACAAAAAATTATGAAAAATTAAAAAATAAATTATATTATGAAACATACATATTTTGAAAAAAAATTACGAAAAACATTTTGGAAAAACATATGAACTCTTTTGAGAAATAAATGGAAAATTAAAAAAAAAAAAAAGTTTTGAAATACTTTTGAAAAAAAAAAG